TACCAGATATGTCTTTATGGGTAAAAATCTCATGTGTGGAGGTTAACTGAGCTTAAACCTTCATTAAATCAATTTGTATTTACTGTGCCATGAGGGCTTAAGGAAGAAGTTTCATGCACTGGGAAAGGTTCTCAATTTGGATAAAGTAACTATATTTAATAGTTTAAAAAGTATTGCTCAAAGCTACTCAAATAGCAAGGTCTTCAGACAGCGGTTTATTGAGTCACTTTTAAAATCTAATATCTTTTTCTCTGTCATTTCTGTACATGCCCAGATACTGGCTGCTCTGCAGAAGGATAACCGGGAAATGGAGAAAGGAAGTCCTTCACTTAAACATTAGCTCTGGCTGCCTCCGGTGACACACAGGAAAAGATGTGAAGTGGCAAAAGTATTTGATATGTATGAGCCTGCAAATCAAAGTGTTACTTCAGATTCTGTTCAGTAGTAAGATAGCCTTAAAGGGGAGAGAGGGGAGGAAAGAAGAAAAAATAAAAGGGAAGGAAACTGGGAGGTAAAACCTTTATAAGTGAAACCGAGGCCTAGCCTTAAACGTCTCGTGGAGCAAGTGCTTGCTGTGGACAGCAGTACACATTTGTATGTTTGATGAGGGCAATTAAACCAAACTATATTAAGGTTTCTTTATTATTTCTCACTGATGTTTTATAATACTGGGCATTCAGCAATGTCAGTTGCTTTGAAAGCCATTCCCTAGTTCTGTTCTTAGGCAGGATATATACTTCCCATGCCCACTAGCTGGATCTGGATTTTAAATAACTGGTGCTGGAATTTAAATGATGTAAGGACCATTCCTTTAGAAATGCTTTTTGTTTTATAGGCTGTGGGTCCCATTTACCAAAGAAATCATGTAGATGTAGAACTACATTCCATCCTTTAAGAAAAAAAAGAGTCAAGGAAGTACACTTGGGAGAGAAATCGCACTAGCAGTGTAAAACCAATTATTCTTTAAGATGCCTTGGAAATTCACGTTCCTGTCTGAAGTATATACAGCAAAAGTTCCATTAATTTGGCTAGATGGCAAACTCAGCAGGAGTGGGTATAGTATTAAGCTGGCATTATTTCCCAGCTGTACTCTTTCCCCCATTTAAACCCAGGGTCACATAGTACTAAATGGATGCTTCTGTGTCTCTTCTGGGGCAGTGCCATTTCAGGGCACTCCCAGCTACTGACTTCTGTGCCATCTGTCCAGTTGTGCTCATAAAACTGGGCTGAGCAGAAGAATTGAGAAATGGTTAAAAGGAATTTGTGCAGCTGTTTTAAACCCAGCTCTGCTCACTGGCAAAACTGAGGAGGAAGGGGGTAGGGTAGAAGTTACATAAGCCTGAAAAGAAAAGCCTGTGGGGAGCTCTTGAAGCTGCTGCTGCCACAGTGGAGAAGCATGTGGAGTTGAATTTGATTAAGTAATGAGGGAAAGAAGTTTACTGGGAAATAGGCCAGAGAAATACTATCAGGACGAGTTCAGGCTGTCATTTCCTGGCATTTTATCCAGCCTCTAATACATGTGAGCAAGTTACAGAGAGCAGATGGCCATTGCTCAGTTGTTATACAGGTTAGATTCCCTCTGCATTCAGATGAATGCTGAACTGTAAAGCACAGGTGCCTCTGATTTACAAGAATGGTGATTGTAGAGTGTAAAATCTGTTTATAAATAATTATTACCATTGAAAAGGGAAACTAACTGAAACAATATTTGTTAACTCTAAGCAGGAATTACTAAATCCTTTAGCTATATGGCCATAGGCTTCCCAGAGTTTTTTGTTCTGTTTTGTGCTCAGTTTTTGGCACTGACTGATGTAAAAAAAAAAAATAATAGTTGCACACTGCTCAACTCAGCATACAGTGTAAGGGCTGTGGGACACAATCAATTTATTACAGACACTGTTTCTACAAGTGATACTTTGACTGTAATTTTAAAAAGAGGGAAAGGAAGATTTCTTGGTAAGTCTTTTGAGACTCATAATCCCTTTGGAATATATGTAATGCAGATGCAGCTTAGAAGTCTGTTACCTCATTGGCCTTTTTTCCTGTCCACTTTGTGTACCTGGCATAATAGACGTGGTTTTTTTGGTTGCCCACCTGAATTTCTCCAGAAGACTTCTTTAGGTCATCGCTTACTGAAAACAGACATTGGGATGTGACATTGAGAACATATTAATTCTCCCAGGATTTGTGTATCTGTATAGAATGGTACTTGTATGCCACGTTGCTTTGAAGTGCAATAGAAAGCTGGAAGGTCAGTAAGTACTTTTTCTAGTACAATAGCAAATCTGCCTTTTCATGATGGGCATGAGAGGCCTAACATCTGCAACATTTGCACTAAGCTTTTAAATGATTTATCAAACACACAGACAACTCTCCCTGCTATACTTTGTGGGTGGTACCATAACTGGCTTTGTGAGTTTAGTCTGCGTTGTAACTGGGTGCATATTTCTGTTCAAAGCAAGTTGTCAGTGTGGCTCACCTGTCTGGTTGGAATGCGTTCTTGAGCCACTGGGTGTTTGTCTCAGCCATCTGCAGCCTGTTTTCTTCTCAAAAACATGTTGAATGTAACAGTGAAAATAGGCATAGTTGTGAGAAAAGGCCTGCTGCAACACTTGTGCACTGTTTGTAACTTGCAAATGTAATTATTTTGGTCTGTGATTCAATCTTTCTGTTCCTAGGAGATGTATATATTTTCTAGATGATTTCTTTGTGTATATAAGGTATGTTCTTTAATGAAGAAAAGCAATGCAATAAGGAGGAGCTTTGCACAGTTTATTTTCAAACAAAATGCATTTGGAAAAAAAATGACCTGCCTAAAGATGCAATTGTTCCAACTTCTCAGTAACTTGATTTGAAGATAACACTTGAATTTTGATATGAACAGAGATGAGTCGTAGTGGTTTAGAATAACTTGCCACCAAGCTTCCTAAGTTTCTTGCGGCGTACCAAATCTCTTCATTATTAAGAAAGGTTTCTGTAATCAATTCAGGGATTGCATAAAAAATTCTGATAACGTTACTGTTCAGGTGCTCAAGGGTATCTGTAACATCGTGCATGAGGTGTTCTCTCATTGAAGTGTCCCCATCTCAGCAGACTTTTTTTTTTTTCACGGGTTTAAGGAAAAAAAAGCTGCAATACACCACAGGTTTGCCACTGTCTCAGTACATGCAGCAGACCAGAGAAACCAGAACATTGCCACCAGGTTTGGAATTTTGTACAACCCGCACTTTATTGCAAAGCTGTTTTGCAACTGCCGTCAGCAATCAGTCATCAACGTGTTTCATTCAGAAATTCAGTTTCATTCAGAAAGGTACCTTCTAACAGCTCATTTTTGAATGTTTTAAAAACTAGACACGTAGAGAACTGTTGATACATCCTCTGTACATCATGTTTAAATTGTTTTTATGTAGTTATCTGTCGGTTTTGTTTAGATACGTGTATCAAACTGGAACTTTTTTCAACTGTAAATATATGGTTTTATTAAATAAAGTCATGTAAAGTTACCTTACTCACCTGCTGTCAGTGCAATTGAGAAACTGAAAGTTCAAGTATCTTCTTGCGCTGTTCGGTCTCCAGAAATGTTCAGTGAGTGTGGATGAATGTCAGTGGGTGCCATTTTTTTCCACGTGGAGAAATTCAGTGACACATTTGCTTCATGCGCGCATCCTTTTTGTCAGGCAGCCTCTCTGCTGCTCATCATCCACTGCTATTTATTTAAAACAGTTCTGTGGAACACCAGAAGGGCCTCTCTCTCGACTTGTGCAGAAACCACTCTTGGATCGAGAGAAAATCTCACATCTGGTTACATGGGTCGTGGTGGAAGTCCTGACTTACAATGTCTTGGTCCGTGATAAGCATAAGTGGTTGGCACTTGTCTGTTTTCACAGTCCAGCAGCAGCCAGAGGTACATTTACTGGTATGTTGTGAAGTTATTGCTTGTGCAGTCTGTTTTCATGAATAGAGGTTGTGAGCTACTGGAGATACATTGCACTTAGTAGGACACAATTGTTTCTGTATCATGACATCAGCATCCCATGCCTTCGTCAACAATGACGCTACTCCAGCAGCAGCGAGAGCTGCGGGTGTAGATCTGTCACACTGCCTCTTTTTCCGTGAGCCGTGTGGGAATTTGAAGAATACGTTGTTTTGAAAGTGGAAGCTGCTTCCTGTCTGGTGAAGCTGAGCTGTATGATTATCCCTTGTAACAATTCCTCCCTCTCTCCCCCCTTTTTTCTGTGTTCTAGAATTCTCACACACTGTCCTTGAACAGTGCAAAGGGGCTGAAGCTGTGGTGGGCTGATGCTACTCTGTACCTCATCACACACCACGTAGAGCCTGCTAAAAGACAAAAGTATTAAAGCTCTAGATTGGGATGAGAAGTTTAACATATGTATTTGAAGTAGTAAACCTTTCATCTTGTACACTAACAAAACAGATCTTGCAGCCAGTTCTGTTGACAGAATGAGTGAGGGATTGAGCTTCTGTAGTAAGTTGGCTGTATGCAAGTCGGGTTTGCTGTGAATACCTCATGTTCCTCCTCAGCCCTCAGCCACATCTATGTGGAACCTTAACCCCTAGAGTTAATTCTTCATCTCCTAGGACCTGTCTGGAAGGCACAGGTGGTGGCTGTACAGATGAAGTTGTTACTGAATTGTAAGAACCGGGAAAGAGGTTGCCAGAGTCAAGGTATGAATTAGAGCTCTGGGTGCTCTGCTTAAACAACACTGCTGTGGCCTCGCAGGACTCAGCGTTTGAGATGGTTTTCTAGAAGTGTAGGCTTTTGGCTGTGCTCTTGTGCACTGTTTTAAATAGGAGGTACGTGTAGGTGGCTTCATTGAGAAATGGGTACAGTGATCTCCTAATGCATCACGCTGATACATCATACCTAAGTCTTTTCCAGGAGCACACGTGTAATACCTTCCTCAAAAAGAAGCGTGTTAAGAAATGAGCGGTACGGACAACTCTGTGGTTTGTATCTTTTCAATGCTTTATTTTCATCCTCAAGGTAGAAATGAATTGGCTTCCCTCATCTTTTCCTGAATTTCCCTCTGTTTGAGGATCAGTTCGGCATGGTGACGTTTCAGCACTTGCAGCTGCTGTTGTAACAACTCCACGGCATTCACCTTCTCCTCAAAGTCCCGCAGCAGCATCTCCTCTCCAAGCAGCCCGCGTTGCTGCTGCAGTTTCACGTTGCGTGCCCTCAGCCTGTCTCTGGCCCGCTTGCTCTTGCTCAGGGCGTCCCTCTTCTGCAGCAGGACGCTCATGACGTCTCTCAGCTCAGCCTTCCGGCCTCGGTTCTCAGCTTCCACAAACTGCAGTTTCTCCCTGACGTCGCCGAGGATCCGTTCTGCATTAGCGACCTTCTTTTTCAGCTTCAGGACCTCGTCGTTGAGGCCGTCCAGCTTTTCGTTGAGCTTCTGGTTCTCTTTCTTCATGTGACTGATCTCTGCGAAGTGGTGGCCTTTCAGCTTTTCTCCGTGGGCTCTCAGGACGCTCTCCAGGTTTCGGACCTCAAGCTTCACCTTGATGTTTTCCAGCCGGGCCTGGAGGGGCAGAAGTACAAGGAGGGCTGGTTCCGCGCCTCTCGTGTCCGGCGCGGCACCAAGGATCGCGGCACGGCGCTCGCCGCGCGCCCGGGAAATCCTCCGCCCTTCGGGAGAGCGGACGGAGCCGGGCGTTCCGCACTCACCTCTCGCAAGGACATCTCCTTCTCCTGTTCCCGGGCCTGGATGTCGCCCACCGCCCTGAGAGCCGCCTCCCTGCCGCCCCGCCGCCGCGAGAGGGTCTGCACGGCCACGGCCTTCTTCCGCGCCTGGAAGGCGGCCCAGGCGGCACTGGCCGCGGCCTCGCTCTCCGCGCAGTCCCTCTGCCGGGCGTCCACCCGCCTCTGCCAGCTCTCGGCCTCCTGCTCCCGCCGCCGCCACAGCTCTTGCAGCTCCAGCAGCCGCCGGGAGAACAGCTCCTGCCCGCCCGCCTCGTCCGCACGCCGCTCGCCCCGCTGCGGCCGCAGCGCGTCTCCCAGCAGGAGCTGCAGGCGGCCGTCCGCCTGGTGCAGGCGCTGCCGCTCGGCCTCCAGCGTCCGGTACTCGGCCAGCAGCGCCGCGCGCTCCCTCTCCTCCGCCTCCTGGGCTTCGGCGCCGGCCGTGGGTTCCGGCTCCCCGCCGGCGTTGGATTCCTCCGTGCCGCTCTCCGCCTCCCCCGTGCCCGGCGCGGTTCCTTCGGGCTCCGGAGGCTCCGCCGGGTCCTCGGACTCCCCGCTCCCCGCGCTCAGCGCGTCGGGCTCGCTCTCGGGAACCTCGTTATCCCCGCTCCCCTCTCGCTCCTCCGCCCCGGGTTCCTCCGCCGCCTCCATGCCGCCGCCCGTCGGCTTCCCCCGTTGTCCGGGCGACGGGACTCGGCTCTGCCGGCCCCGCCTCTCCCTCCGCCCCGAGGTCCCGCCCTGTCTTCCCGGCCGCCGCTCAGCGGCGGGGTCGCCCGGGGTCGCCTCTGCGATTGGCCGCCGGGAAGGAAACAGGATTCCGCTCGGCCAATCGCGGCCTCTCGTTCATTTTAATCCCCCCCGCGCCCGGGCGTTTCGTCTCCATTGGCCGCGATCCGGAGGGGCTGCCCGAGCCCTCCTCACACATTGGCCGTCCGGCGAGAGGCTCCTCCCGGCGGGAGGGCTGCCATTGGCCTCGTCCGAGCGGGGGCGGGGCCGCGCGTGCGTGCGGGGCGGCGGCGGGCGGGGTAAGATGGCGGAACTGGGGAAGAAGTACTGCGTGTACTGCCTGGCCGAGGTGAGCTCCCTGCGCTTCCGCTGCACCGAGTGCGCCGACATCGAGCTCTGCCCCGACTGCTTCTCGGCCGGCGCCGAGATCGGCCCGCACCGCCGATGGCACGGCTACCAGCTGGTGGACGGCGGCCGCTTCACACTGTGGGGCGCCGAGGCGGAGGGCGGCTGGAGCAGCCGGGAGGAGCAGCTGCTGCTGGACGCCATCGAGCAGTTCGGCTTCGGCAACTGGGTAAGGGTCGGGCCGCGCCGGGCTGCGGGGCGGGGGCTGCGGGGCGGCTCCGTCACCTTCTGGGGCGGTGTCGTGGCGCGGCTCTGGGCGGGGGGAACCCAGAGCCCTCCCGGTTCTCGCCCTGCTGTGGGGTCGGGCTGCCCGGGGCGGCCGCTGCTCTCCGTGCACCTGTTCCTGCTCACCGCCCTCGAAGTGAAGCATTTCTTCTTTACGTCTACAGCTTCAGTATCCCTTGTTTCAACTTAAAGCCGTTCTCTTTTCCTTACCGCTATAGGCTGTAAATATTAACTTTCCTTTTTCTCTGTTGCTCTAAAAACGAAGCTGTAAGTGAGCAGAACCCTGGCGGGTGATGCAGTGAGCTCGGGAACCGTCGCAGTGCTGAGCTGGGTTGTTGAGGTAGCAAAGGGTGCTGATCGTGTGCATGGTGAGCAGACAGGGCTGCTGTCCCCATAGGCAGCTCAGAGGCAGTTTGTTGCACCGATGCTTTTTTCTTTCTTTCTTTCTTTTTTTTTTCATGGCTTCCTGTGTTCTCGATGCTTTTCTTGTCCCTTTCGCACTTGTAAATACTGTGCTGGTGTTCATGGTGTGGCAGAGCTATTGTTGGAAGAGTACAGGTCTTGTGAGTTGGTTTTTGAGGGAAGGAGGAGTGCGTGCTCCAATGAAGATGTAATGGGAACCATCTTCTTGCCCCTCCTTGTTTTCCATTTAGGAAGACATGGCCGCTCACGTGGGAGCATCCCGGACGCCCCAGGAGGTGATGGAGCACTACGTGAGCATGTACATCCATGGCAACCTGGGGAAGGCCTGCATCCCCGACACCATTCCCAACAGGGTGACGGACCACACGTGTCCCAGCGGCGGCCCTCTCTCTCCCAGCCTGACCACGCCGCTCCCGCCCTTGGACATATCGGTGGCTGAGCAGCAGCAGCTGGGCTATATGCCGCTCCGGGACGACTACGAGATCGAGTACGATCAGGATGCTGAGACTCTGATCAGCGGCCTGTCTGTGAACTACGACGACGATGACGTGGAGATAGAATTGAAAAGAGCTCACGTAGACATGTATGTGAGAAAACTCAAGGAGAGACAACGGCGGAAGAACATTGCGCGAGATTATAACTTGGTGCCGGCCTTCCTGGGGAAGGATAAGAAGGACAAGGAGAAAACTCCCAAGCGAAAGATCACGAAAGAAGAGAAGGAGTTGAGGCTGAAGCTGAGGCCTCTGTACCAGTTCATGTCCTGTAAGGAGTTTGAAGACTTCTTTGAGAACATGCACAAGGAAAGAGTACTTCGAGCGAAGATCCGGGAACTGCAGCGGTATCGCAGAAATGGAATCACCAAAATGGAGGAGTCGGCAGAATATGAGGCAGCCAGACATAAACGGGAGAAGAGGAAGGAGAACAAAAACATAGCCAGCTCCAAGAGGGGGAAGGAGGACGGCAAAGAAGGGGAATTTGCTGCCATTGAAAACCTGCCTGGTTTTGAACTCTTGTCAGACAGGGAAAAAGTGCTTTGCAGCTCTCTGAACTTGAGTCCTGCGCGATACGTGACTGTAAAAACCATCATCATTAAAGACCATCTTCAGAAAAGACAAGGGATTCCTTCCAAGAGTCGCCTTCCCAGCTACTTGGATAAGGTACTGAAGAAAAGGATTTTAAACTTTCTAACAGAGAGTGGCTGGATATCCAGAGATGCATCATGAAACCCAGCGCATCTGAGCACCACGCCAGAGGCCTGACGGGCTCCCTTCTTTTTCCTGCCCTCTCTGGAGATACAGAAATTATCTTATTCGAAACAGACAAACAAAACAACAAAAGCAAAAACAAAAAAACCCACGGTGTTCGTGGTCCGTGCTTTGAGTAGACTTTTGCTTTGTGTCATGAAAAATACTGAATTGCGAAACTTCTCCATTCGACTTCATTGCTCGTTAGAGTACGCTGTTTTTGTTACGTTACTCAAAGAGATTTCTTTCATGTGAACCAACTCCTCAAGTCCAATAGTTCTGGGGTGGTCACGTCACTTCCTGCTGTTGGATAAGTGAGGGTCAATGTCATCCATAATCCTTGCCTTTTTTTTTTTCTTTTTTTTTATTTTGAAGGTGGGAGATGGTTTTCAGCAGACGAGTTCTTCTCCCTGATGTTTTTGTCACAGTGCTGGCAGCCAAGCAAAGCTTGCAGAAATCTTGAGCTGTCAGGCACAGGGTGCAGGGATTGGCGTGGTGCTGCAGAGCTTTTGGAGCCCTGCCCTTAGTAGCACAGCCCAGGTGTCAGGACTTGGGGTGGGAGCTTTTCTGAGGTGCAGCGGGGCTGAGCCGTGACAGGGATTGGTAGATGAGTTGCCTGCAGGTATCTGTGCTGTGTGGGCAGGCTTCTTGGAGAGCTGCGTTCGGCTGCCTGACCTCAGAGTGTGCTTGGCCGGGCAGCTGTATGCTCTGCGCTGGGCTCAGCACTGCTGTGAAGTGGCTGCTTCTGGCCAGCTGTGGCTTAGAACACGCAGAGTTCTGCCCTGGTGAAATCACTGCTTCCAGTTGCAGGGGGAACCTGCCCCTCCTCCTGTATGTGGTACAGGAGGCAGCCTGAGCACCTGCAGCTGCCTCCTGAGTGCAGCTGGGATGGACAGGGACAGGGAGCTCCATTCTGAAGCTCACAGGGGTCACTGAGGTTGGTTTATTGAAAAAGAAAAATTAATTTATATAGATTAAAATGCCCAGCTGCTGTGCTCCTGGAGTGCAGAGTGGTGGATGCAGCCATTGCAGGTTTCTGGCTGCGCGTTCCTTGAAACCTGCTGGACTAAATGTGCTGAGGTCATTGCTGTGGTTGACAAAATGGATCTCAGTTTGCCACAGTGGTCACTTGGGCATAACTGATGTTGTCATTGCTGTGCTCCCTGCCAGGCAGGGCTGGAGTTACAGTGGAGCAGAGCACGGCAGAAACACTTGATCCACACCGTTGTTTTAGTAATATATACCAATTAAGGGAAAGGTGTTCAAGGAGGACTGGAAAAGGTGTTTTTTTTTTTTTTTAATCTTGATTTCATTCTTAGATTCCTGTGCTGGCATCTAACCATCTGAATTAAAAAAAAAAAAAAAAAAAAAAAAAAAAACAAAAAAAACAGGTTGATTCTGTGTGACAGACATCAGTGTTACTGCACCTGAGCCCTGTGCTGGGCAGTGGGTGGCAGCCAGCTGGGCAACAGCTCCACTGTGTGGATGTGCCAGGAGATGGAGCTGACCGAGTTGAGAACAGATGTGAACGCAGGAGGTGTGCTCTGGTTCTGATGCCTTGGGCCATGAGGAGTCCATGACATCTTAAAAACAGTATTAATTCTGCAGCTTGGCAGAGGTATGCTAACCAGAACTGGTTTTGAGTCAGTATCTCCAGCATTATCAGAATAGTGTTACTGCTGAGTTTAGCATACAAAGGGTACAGTTATAAAGCCAGCATTTCTAAGGAGAAGGAAAAACAATAACACAACACACACAAAAACTCTAGTGCCTTTTTGTTTTGAGCTTGTGGTGTTACGTCCCTCCAAAAAAGGAAAGGGCTGTGTGCTCTCTGATGGGATGCTTTGGCTTACCTGGAAGCGGCTTCTCGGGCACCCGAGACAAAGCAGTGCAACTCACTGCAGTGTGCCAGTAGCTTTAAGAACCTCTTCCACCCTGTATGCACGTATAGAGAGCACGTGAGACAAGTTGAGAAGGTGTAAACCATTGATGATTTCCTCTGTCCTTCTCCTGTGGAAAGGAAGCTCAGCCTTTCCAGCCTTGGAGTTATGCAATTTGGTTCTTCCTCTGAGCGGTTCCGGCTGCTGCATCGCACCGGTGCTGTGCTGGAGCCTCAGCTCTGCCTGCAGCTGGGAGGTTAACACAGATGTGGGTTTTCTGATTTATTACTATCTTCCTCAGATCTAAATTTTATATTTCTGAAGTGCTTTGGCACACCTAAGCCTAACTGAAGCAATAGCCTAAAACCCATCTGAACAGTAATTTAAAAATAAAATTATCTAGGCACCAATGACTCATTTAAATGTTGTAGAAATGAATTCTGCGTTTACTCTTTGTAGTTCCTGAATTCCTCAGCCCTTCCAAAATGTTTCTTTGGTGCTAGACGTAACTTATTGAACATCAAGATGAATGTAAAATAAAGTATTTTTAATGTATGAAATATGGATATCGATATTTATTTTATACTTGCAAGCAAATTCAAGGTGGTAAATGTTTGCTGTAGCAAATGCTGATCCCTTGGAAAGGGCTTTCCTAGAAGCAGTGTCTCATTGTCAGCTATGCTTTTAATTTTAAAGGTGACTTGCACTAGAGGATGCTGCTGTCCTGTATTTTCAGATGGAACCCATT